GGGCATGTTTTTGCTCAATAGGCCAGCTGCTAAAACAATCAGTGAGTGTGTGGAGGTGGAGGAGACAAGGGGAGCATAAAGAAAGGGAGACACACTGCAGGACGAGGGGGAGCAGAGGCATCATGTCGAGTCTCACATCCCCATGACTCCCCTTAGTCTTTTTTCATTGCTGAGGGGGAAAACCCCTGAGAGGAGGTCCATCAATGGACCTGAATAAAAAAAGACTGAGGGGAGTCGAGGGGAATCTAAAAATGTTCACCTCCATCCTTCAGGCCTCAGAAGCCATTCCCCCTCCTGTATCTCTTCCCTATCTGTTGTAAAAATCTACCACTACTGTGCCCCCTCTTCCTCCTCCTCTGCCTCCTCCTCCTCCGCCTCCTGCTGCTTCTTTACCCAGGGGGGCAGGGCTGATATCTCTGTCAGATGGTTGGGAGTTCTCTCTGTAACAGTAAACTGACCGGGGAGGAGAGGAAAGAGACATTACTGTGCAGGGAGAAGCTATCAACTACAGCCTGCAAAACACATCGTACAAGATAAGTTCACTTCACATACTTTGTGGAGCCCTCACAGGACTGAACTGTGCAGAGCCAAGAACTACATATGCCTGATTAATACTGTGGTGTTGTGGGTAGTAATATAGAGCTACTGAGGAAATGATGCTGTAGCCAAGCATAACGGATGTACAAGGATTTGTGTTTTTAAAGCTGCGTGTACACACATACCTCTGTGTACTTCCAGAGATAAACACTGTATATATGTAGTTCAACAGACTCCTATATCTAAACACACACGTTCCTGCGAGCAGTTTCATGCCAGCAGCACGACCCTCAGTGATTGGCTGATGAAGATGATTGGTGATGTTGTGCTCCCACCCCAGGGGAGTTTGGGCCATGTTTTCTAAGATTAGCCTGCTCCACAGCACAGCACACATCTAGCAGTACACTCAGTACAGCACAGGGCTGTACACACACAGCATCTTCAACGCTATGTGAATCCATTAATTATATTATTATAGACTTATATAAGATGTAAATATTGCAGCAGTAAGATGTGGATCCAGAACATTTAAGGACAAAAAACATGTTTGACATACACGCTGGATAGGGAACAACAGCAAAACAATGCTATCGTATTCATGTTGGCCTCATGATTCATGCAGTTCTGTAAACTGTGTATATTAAGTAGAGCTGAAACAAGTAGTCGATAGACAGAAAAAAACATTGTAATAATCAATTAATAGTTTAAAGGTCCAGTGTGTGACATTTAGGAGGATCTAATGGCAGAAATAGGTATGTGTATAATATTGTTGTTTTTGTTACCTTAGAATAAGACATTATCTACAGAGGGAGCAGGTCCTCTTCTATAAAGGCCGCCATGTTGAACTGCCATGTTTCAATAGCCCAGAACCGACATTTTCAGGGCATTCTGGGTGGCCACTGTAGTTTCTCCTACATGCCTGAAACAGGAGGGTAAGGCGAGGGTTTGTAATCTACAACTACACCACTAGACGCCACTAAATCCTACACACTGGTACTTAATTCATTTAAAATTTGTAGTAAAATTATCAAAAATCTTCAGATTTTAACATCTCACAGGTCAGGATCTGCTGCTTTTCTCTATTTTATATGATTCTGAACCTTGGGATGTTTATTTTTCAGTATTCTTTAAACTGAGATTGAAGCAATGAAGAGTGTGCAACTAACAACACATCTGTGACATTTTTAAGGTAAAATATGAGCTTGTTGTGTCTAACACTGAGTTTTGGTAAACTCAATAATAATATATATAAAATAACACTGCAAGTTAACAGAGTATTGCTTCTGTGCAACATTTAATATGTGACATCCAATTAATGACAAACACAAAATTAAGACTTGGTTTGCATCACAAGTCGGTACCAGAGATGCAGAGATCAGCATAAACATGTGATGATGTTGTGTTTTGATTTGTTGCTCTGTAGGGATGCAGAAAGAATAAAGCTGACTCTGACACAAGGGGGGAAGTCACGCTGACAAAAACTGACTCACCTACTGAAGGCAAAACACAGATTCTTACAGTAGACATCCAGGTGGAGGTGTGTGTGTGTGTGTGTGTGTGTGTGTGTGTGTGTGTGTGTGTGTGTGTGTGTGTGTGAAGACAGCAAGAAAGAAACTATGTAAACCAGCTTTAACACTGAACAAAAGGAATGGAGGGTGGAAGTGGAAGGAAAAGCAGAGGAGATGTAGACACAAGATAAAAAAAAAATCCCAGGAGGGAGAAATTGCAGATAGAGCGGTAAGATGAAGGAGGGGGATCAGACATTGTGGTAGGAGGAAGAGCAGAAGTCAGGGTCAGCAGTAATAGAGCCCTTTCTTTACCTTCTTTAAGATCTGTCCACTTCAGAGCAGCCAGGTCAGTGACCTTTGACCTGACCCCTGATAACCTTGTCCCTCCCTGATGAGACTGAATGTTGTCTGGAGAGTTTGTATGAAGGCAACACAGGACCACCAGAGAGGAGAGAGTCTACCCTCACGATGACAGAGAGACATTATGAAAGGTATGTAGTCCTGATCCAGACACTGATACCCCCACCTGCATGGAGCTATCTGTGTGTGTCTGTATGTGTGTGTGTGTGTGTGTGTGTGTGTGTGTAGACACAGACAAATGCAACTGTTGATAAGGAACCAGACATGATGAGAAGATGGATCCCCACATCACCAGACTGTAACTGCACACAAACAAACTGACCACTTCTCACCAGTCTTCCTGTTTTTTCCCCCCGCGTTTTTAACGACGTAGGTAGCAGAGACTCATCACAATGATATTAAACACATTAATTAGCGTGTCCTCTACCAGCCGGCTGTCCTCTTTCTCTCTCTCTCTCTCTCTCTCTCTCTCGTGGTTCCTCTGGCAAGCAGTGACAATGTAAATATTGAGTGAGCTTCGGCATCCATATGGCAGCCAGTGATAAAGGACGGGAGCGCGTGGGAGAGACGCACATTCTGCCACTGACTTCCATTTCCTGTCTCTCACCCACCAGGTCTAACTAATTTCACAGATGACCACAGGCCTCTCGCAGAAGAGAAAATGCTGTACAACCTGTGTGAGCATCGAGCGTGTCAGTTACTGCAATAGATGGGGTTTTTAATTCGGTGTCGCACAGGGAAGCTGATTATAACACTGATTGCAGAGGGTGGAAAACATGTACGGCTTGACTTTATGATATATATGCTTTTGGGTTTTGTAGAGCAGCTATGGATTGGCTATTGCGAGCCCAGTAACACTTGTGTATTTCAAATATTTTTATGTTCTTAAGTGAAAATGAATTGTTTGTGTATATTTGTGTCTCAAAATGCCTCTTGAGGGATGAATAAAGTGTTTTGAAATGTGTAGGGCTGCAATGGAAAATGACTTAGATATAAAACAGGGGAAAGACTCACATTTCAGAGGTTGGAGTTTGAAGAAATTGTAGAAAAGAATGTGTTGTCATTTAACTTTCTGTTGGTTGGCAAATAGATGAATTAAACTAATTGTTTCAGGACTACTTCTAGGGTGTATTGCAAACAGTGTCTCTATAGTAGTAGCAGTAATAGTCAGTATTTGTTGAGACGCCGTTGATTCAACTGTGGGAGAAGCCTTTTTGTGATGATATTGTATTGGATTGCATGACATTATAAAGTGTTCTTGTTATTTTGTCTACCCCCCTGCAGAATATTTTGTCTAGCATGAGTGGTGTAGCATCGCTTAGTTTTAGTGAAAGAATCTTTGTAAAATGTAACTTTAGAGGGATTCTGCTTGAATATCACAACAAAACAACATCCCTATTAGAATATAAGGTTATATAAGTTATATAATAAAGGATATAAATACTTCATAATAAGTCCCTGCATTCAATTAGGTCACTATCCAATCATTAATTTTGTAAAATGTAATGTGGTGGACTATTACAGGGACATTACAGTGGTGATTTGTTGGATTGCATTATACTGTACGGTGTTCTTGTTATTCTGTCCACCCCCCTGCAGAGTACATCAACCCTGAATGGACTTACATAGGCTACTATATGAGCTCAGGTCTGCTATGAAAAGTTAGTGAAGAAGCCCAGAAGCTGCTTAAACATCACAACTAACATCTGTAGTAGAATACTATAGAATATAATTGTAGAATAAGGAGAATAATGATCCATTTTGTTTCATTATAAAAAGCCTCACAGGAGCATTATGGGAATATCAGCAGACCTATATGCTGCTAAAATCAGGCTTATTAGGCGTCACATTAACTGACTGTAGCCTATAAAAAAGATACATGAGAGAAAGTCAATAGAGGGCCTAAAACAGGCCTTGTGCAGGCCCAGAGAGCCTATTTAAAGCCAACAGTGGATCGTTGTGCAGGCTGCGTAATGGACTTCATGAATGGGAATCGGCTGCAGCCTCCTGCTGAATGGCTGACAGCTCCAGGTCCAGAAAGCAGGAGATGAATGGGAGCCTGCGTGCGGAGTCACGAGTCGGTACACCGATTCTGGATCATCTCGAGCAGGGGGCCTATTAGACCACCTCAGATCAGATCTCATCACATCAACATCAGGCCCCTGATCCGTCCTGTGACTGACCAGACTTTACTCCCTCAAGGCTATTAAATGGATTATCGGAAAAGCCCCGTATTTTTTTTTTTTTTTTACACCGAGACCCTCCTGAAGTCGCCTCAAGCACAGTTGACACCTAAAAACGAGCCGCTATCATCAGCCGATTGCACTTGTTCAATAGCACCAACCCCCCTCACCCGACTCTTAACGCAGGATTCATCACGGAGGAGGACTGAGGGGAAGAATCGGGGGGTTTAATACCAAAACACAGCAGCCTCCTCCTCCTCCTCCTCTTCCTCTCCTCAGCACCTGGAGGTTTGTTGTTGTCCCCCTGATGCTCGCCTCTCTCTCTCGACACCAGCAAGCGCATGAAAGATGTCTAATCATACGCGTCAGGATGGTCCAGACGCGCAAAATAAGAAACGGCGGCGGCTCTCACCTCAATGCAGGACTGGTTTCATGACGCTGGTTGGTGTCTCTGAGCCGGATCCTGGTTTTGCTGGGAGGATTGTTTTTTCTATTCAGGATCAGACATGGTTTGTCCCTCTTCAGCTGGTGTTCTCCCTCCCCGGGTTATACGCGCTCACAGCCGGCCAGCTCTCCCTCCATCTCTCCGCTCGACGCACTGTGCTCCTGTACCTTTTGGCTCTGCTCTCCATAGACCGCTGACAAGTCGGAAAGTGTCAGAATAAAATGCTACTTCCGCCAAATACTTTCAGAATAAAGCCCCGAGTTGCTGGACAAATGAGAAGCCTGTAAATGTTTATTGTTTTAGGAGGGTCAGAGTCATTATTTCATTGCATGTTAATGGGATTTGTTCATTTGATTGCAGTTAGTTACATCACTATTTTACATTTGTAACACTTTTACAGGTAATTTCATGCAGATTTGGTATATTTTAGGTAATTTGGGCAGGTACAACAATATTCTGAGATAGTTGATTCTGTTTAGTTTGTTAATTTCTAGATGGATTTAATTAAAATAACTTGTTGTTTTAAAACAAAAAAAAAAAAAAAAAATACATTCATAATTGAAAATTTTATGATGATTACATCAGGAAGCTTCCTAAGAAATTTCAGTTTCATATCAAAGGTTTTTATCAGAGATCACCATCATTGAGTAACCGAATAAAAGGCTGTTTCAGTCTCTCGTGTATACGTGTCTATTATTTTTATCCTATTGCCACAAACTGACGTACAGAAACTTTTAGTTGTGGTAAACCTGTTGCCGTTAGACTGAAGTGTCATTAAGTTTCTGTTTCATTTCCTTTGAGTTACTGGAACAAACTGGAAATGGTGATGGTTTAAAGTTCTTGAATTAAGCTGATTTAATGTAATTCCTGCATCAAAGTCGTAGTTGATTTCTGGGGCTGCTGTGTAACTGGTCACTGTACTTACTTGGTGAGGGTAGACCCAAGACTGTTTAATCTGACCGTGCCCTATACCAGATACTACATGTGAAAACTCTAATGAAGAAGATTTTTAGGTTTTATTTGCATTTCAGAGGGCAAATGCAGTTCAGAAAATGACTCCTGAGCTTTTGAAATGTGGATCTTGTGAACTGAAAATGCATTGTGGTCCAAATAAAAACACTTTGATTCTTGGTTCCTGAAAAGCTGACATTTTAAAGAGAACCTACCAGCGCTCAATTAAACCAGATTTAGCAACCAGAAAAAACCCTTGGTTGCGCAACATTTAACATTGGGTGCTGCATGAAACATGAGTCACTTCCAACCATTGACAGTAAACGAATCTGGAGGCTTTTATTTTGAAGGCACACCCGAATGCAGGAACATCCTGTGTGTGTTCCTGGTGGAGTTGACCACAGCTTCCTTCACTGGGGGGCGTGTGTGTGTGTGTGTGTGTGTGTGTGTGTGTGTGTCTGTGTGTGTGTTTCACTGATCTATTTAACAGCCACCGATGACTGCCCTTAAAGGAGCCACGCCCTTTTATTGTTGCCATAACTCGCCACTGACACAATACAATGCTGTGTGTTTGTGTGTGTGTGTGTGTGTGTGTGTGTGTGTGTGTGTGTGCGCGTGTTAGAGAGAGTTTGTATTATACATGAATGAATAAATGTATGAAAGAAAACATTTGACCCCCCTCCTTACACACACACACACACACACACACACACACACACACACACACACACTGAATACACAGTGCCTTTGAAAACACAAAAACACAAACTGGTCTGTTTTCACTGGGATTCGGGGCCACACACACACACACACACACACACACACACACACACACACACACACACACAAGCCAACAGGACCACATACATTGAAGTGGGGGCGGCAGCTGGACCAAACACACAAACACACACACACACACACACACACACACACACACACACACACACACACACACACACACACACACACACACACACACACACACACACACACATAGCAACAGTCTTGACTCTCCTCGTGTGTTTTCTCTCTAATATTCTTCTGTTCAGTCTCAGTCACAGTCTAGTTGTGATGTTATTGATCAGATCAATCTAAATCAATTACTTCAAACAAATAAAACTGGGAAAATGAAGTTGAATTCCGGTTGATTTCTGTGCGGATTCTAGCTTTGCTTTGACCTAGAAGTAGTTATTACAACCACACTGGGTAACACTTTATTAGGGTAGTTTATAGAGTATTTGTAACATGCTTTGTCTGTAGATGTTTAACAGATTATCTTGAGTATATATAATAATTAATGAATGTACCCTAACCAAGATTTGATTTGTGAAACAGTTGAATTGTGTTGAATCTGAACTAATAAGCTGTTGAAATGTTAGTAATAAGATATAAATGGTAGCAGTGGTTACGACCATGACAATAGTTGTATTATTCATTGTATTCTAATATCTGACATGATTACATAAATGTTGTTTGGCCAAATGAGACTTCTCATGTTGCTCTGTGGTGTTTATAGCCCCGGTTAGTGGCTCTAGCGTGGCACACCTTCACTACTAATCCTCTTTGAGAGGATTGACTCTGTGGCTTCATGGTGAGGCAGAGGACTAAAATAATGACCTGGTCAGGCGACAGACAGGTGGTAGTGGGAGAAGACGAGCTGCTCTCGAAGGTCAGCCTCTAATCTGAGTGTTTCCTCTTAAACTAGCCGCTCTGCTGCTTTCGGTCAGAGCTGGCAGAGTCTGTGATTTTGTTTTGTAAACTCTTTCCTCAGCTGTTAAGCAGCTCTAACCGATCCCTCTAATGATTAGCAGTAAACAAATGATTAAACAAAAGCATGTGATTGAAATGTTGCCAGGTGTTTCATGCCCTCTATACTGCAGTGTCCTCAAGGAAGCAGCTCAGGGATTTTACGACGAAAAACAAGATCATATTCAGAGCAGAGGTCCTCCTGTCTGATAAACGCGGCCCCAAGACATCTGAAGTGTCTAGTAGAGAGTTTACCAAATACTGATGAAGTATTAATCAATAATTTACGATCACTAACTATTTCCTGTTACTAACTTGGACCTCACACTGGGAACCACTGTATCTATTTCACTGAAGCAGGCTGTATATACTCTACATAGATGTGTTTACATGTATGTAACCAACCAATCTACATACATACAGTAAATATCACACTATACAGTCAATATTTACTCCAGCACTCGTTGCACTAATGATGTCAATGTATTTGGACACTGTATGTTGTTATCCATTGTTGTTTTAAGATATATTCATACATGTATCTATTCAAATCTAGATATTCAGTCTAGTTAAATTCCTTGTATGCATAAATATACTTGACCAATAAAGCTCCTACTTTTAGGTTTTTATTGTGAAAGACAATGGAATAAAGTTGAGGTCAGGAACATTTGACTCTATCCTCATAATATCCCTCTCCCATAATAATAAAATAATATATATATGGAAAATGTAAAATATAATAATTATCTTTAAGCAATAATATAAATTAAAATATAAATTAAAAATAGTTAAAATATCTCCTCCATCTCCCTCAGTGTAAAATCCAGAATTTAAGAATCATTGTTTTTATTATCGGTGATGACGATGTGATAGTGACAGGAACATTTCAGCTCATTTTTACCAATTCAAACCCAGACTAGAGCAAGAAGCTGCTTAAAGAAACAAAAAGAGACCCTGGGCTGGGCGAGGGCTCTCTCTGATTCTCTCCAGAGACCCTCGCTTCTTATTGATCCTTATACACTTCCTGCCGGAAGGATGAATTGACGGGAGCCTCGAGGGGGCAGGGGCCGCTTCAACCTTCTGGTCATCCACAGACTCGTCACTGTCTCTCTCACATCATCTCTGTTTTAGTCCCTTCACCTCCTCGTATAAATATCTTTGTTCAACCATCAGCTTATCGCATGTTTCCTTCTTAAATCCCCCCCCCCCCCCCATCTCACCCCTAAAGATCAAGAAGAGCCTTTCCTCTGTGCATACAGTTTGATGGCAGAGCAGGAACCCATAACATAACACTGCACACAAACAACACGGCCTCCTCGGTGGGCATTATCGATCGGAAGTTCAAATATACACCTCATTTAGACCTCAGAGAGGTGAGACAGGGGAGGGGAGGGGGAGACTGAAAGACAAAAGAAAAAAAAAAGATGCTTTTGAGCTGATTTCCTGTGAAAGCATCTAAAGTGGTTGAGATGGAGATTGGCCTCCTGAGGCTGTTTTAGGATCAATGTGTCAGCAGGCTTTAATAAGAAACTGCCCCTCACTGTTTCCTGACCAGGAAAACACACCACTGATGTTCACAGAGAACTCTGGTTACCTCTGAAGACGCCATTGTTTTCAACATGAGATGGACTCCATAACACTCCAAAGCACCTGCATTTGTAGAAATGAGTTACTGATGGGAAGCATTTAAATGCTGTAATCTGAAACTCCGTGAAAAACACAGTGCATTAGCTGTCGGAGAAGTAACAGACATAAAAAAGGAAGAATCTTAAGGTAATATGACTTGAAATGAGGAACAAAACAAAATGTACCTGACAGAAGAAACAGAGGGTTTTACAAGTCTGGAAACATATTTTATCTTTCAATAATCGCTAGCTAAACATTTGCATTATGAGGTAATGTACCAGGAAAGCTAAATGTCAGGATTTCTTTGTATGTGCTGCTTCTATTTTTTAGTGCAAGACAACATCACTAGAGTGACCTTTAATGTAGCTGTAATCTGATAGCGAGGCCCTATATATACCCCACACACCTCCTACCATTATGCACCGTGTGTGTACTATATCAGCTTCAAACTGTTATAATCAAATCATGTGCAACTTATTGCTTGCAGTAAACGTGGGGCTTTAAGGACCCTGGAGTGTCTGAAGACAAGGGACACTTTAGCTGGTTTGTTATTCGAACCCTGCTTTAGAAGTTCACTCCACCAGCGCACACGCTTGTCTCTCTGATTAACAAGTCATGTCATTCCTGCATGTGCTGGGGTTCTAACTAGTTTCAACCCCAGTTAAATCTCACCACCCTGTGTCAGAAGTGTCAGTCTGTAAGAAATTAACAGCTCTAATCCTCAGATGACCTGCTGCTCAAACATTGATGTCTGTCTGTGTGTGTGTGTGTGTGTGTGTGTGTGTGTGTGTGTGTGTGTGTGTGTGTGTGTGTGTGTGTGTGTGTTTTCTGTACCTGAGGTTGCGTCTCTCCCGCTGAGCTGGCAGGAGATGATGCATGATGAGTGTGATGATGT